AGTAAGGTGAGCGCTGAAGCGGTGCACGAATCTTTCCTAGAAAGATTCAACAACAAAGTTTTGCCCCTGCAGAGCCCGACTCCTACCTAAAACCCCCTTGTAAGTAAGTTATGCTTACCCTATTTTAATATAGCTTATATTTAAAATTAGTATTGTTATTATGAACTTATAATAAATATTTGGGCTATTATTATGACTTATATAAGTGTCGTTATAATATCTTTTTAACTACTTGCGGTACGGGGAATCTGGTTTAAAGGGTCGCATATGGTTGTTGGATTTCAGAAGTGTTATATGCCAAAATGGTCCTGCCCTCCGGTGTTTTGTGTCTGGCCCCTGTCTGTACATAGTGGTTGGAAAATATTGTTTAAACGTTTATATAATAATAATAATAATAATAATAATAATAATAATAATTAGTCATGGTAAATATTAGACTAAAATCTAGTGGTAATAATACTAGGTTTCGTCGAAGGAAATTATTTTTAAGAAGCGAAACGCTGTCTGAGTTCGGAATCACCACCTTAACAAGTGAGTGCATAGTTACTTTCATCTTACACATAGATATGAAATATTTTAATATCAATTACGTGCTATGTGTGCATATTGTCTGAATACTTGTTGTCTATGCTGAATGAAAGATTTTATACATGTTTTAAATGATTTAAACTGTATATGTATTTTATATCTACAAAATATGTTGGGTAAAACATGGGTAGATGAAATATCAATTGAATGTTGAGATAAGAGGTGATATAGACCATGAGATAAGGGTGAGAGGTGAACAATCAGAGAAACCTTTTACCCAAGCCTGGCCTCGTCATCTAGCTGAGTATGGATGACAACCACAGACTATTCTAGACAGTCCAGTGGAACACTAGCAGACTCGCAACCTGTAGGTGTTGTGAACGATGTGTTCACCCGGTGTACTCTAAACCCGGACGACTATGCAGACTTTGTGCCCGAATCTTGGCCATCATGCAGACTTGGTGCCTAAACCTTGGTCACTATGCGACTTAGTGCCTGTTGTGTAAAGCCTGGCGACTATGCAGACTTATTGCCTAAACCCTGGCGACTATGCGACTTAGTTTCTGTTGTGTAAACCCTGCAACTATGTAGACTTAGTGCCTAAACCCTGACGACTATGCGACTTAGTGCCTGTTGAGTAAACCCTGGCAACGATGGACTTCGTGCCGATTCCTTAGGATAATTCTTAGGAATGAATGAACGAGGAATAACTGATTCTTAGGGTAGATCCTTAAGAGTAAGGAAGATAATGGGGATGTGTAATTGGGTTGATTGTTTGATGTTTAAACATAATAATTATATTGTTGTGGGTTGAAAACCCTATGTACTCACCAGGTTTCCCAACCTGACCCACTCAAGCTTATTTGTATCACAGGTGTCGATACAAAGCTACTTTACACTGAGAGATTTAAAAGAGATGTAGATCACTAGTGTAAAAAAATGTAAGTTCTGTTTATGCTTATGTTTCTGTATTAACGATGACATCCCAAATGTTTTAAAATGAATAAAATACATTTCTTAGGAAATTCTTTGATAATGTATTTATCATGTTTTTCTGGGAACAAATTCCGCAACACTTTTATTAAAAGAGTTACTCTGATTTTTATAAAGCATAAACAATATCGGTCTTTTCTGACCGTGAAAATGGGGATGTCACACGATCCCGATTGGTTTACTATCTTGAAGATTTTCTTCATTCTTGAAGCATTTCTTAGCTTTCTCAACTGAAAAATATATTGTGAGTTATTTACTGTTTTGTTGGTGATGTTGTTTTTAAAAATAAATATTTTGCAACTACTCTTCATGCATTTTCCTGCTGTTAAATGTAAGTTCATGAAGATAATTATTTTAGCCGAAGAAGATGAAGTTTTTGTGAAAAAGGTGGTGTTTGATATAGTTATCCCATGCAAAAAGGTGTTTTGAAAAAGACAAAAATATGGTTGTGGGATAAAAGATTGAACAGAGGTTATTGAGTTCGGAATGATTGATTTTTAGAAGTGTTTGGATATTTATTTAGGAAAGTACAAGTTAACAAAGGTGATGATACAATTGCTATATGCATGCATTGTCCGAGTATATAAGCTCATTGTCCGAGAATATAAGCTTATTTTTCGGGGGTACAAATTTTATGTGCTGATGGTACAAGTTGGTGTAGCTTAGTGGGTATGGATATAATTTTCCGAGGTATACAGTTATGGTCGGGTACTTGTGCATGCATGGTTGCCTTGTAATGAATTCTATTTCCAAGTGTCAAGTTCTTTCTTTCCATTTCATTTAGTCCTTCAACTCCATTTTCTACAATTGTTTCCCATTAAGCACACCTAAAATCAAAAGTTCAAGGGCGTTGTAGGGAAAACAGAAAAAATAGTTGCCTTGTCTATATTTAGAGGTTATTCAAATGAGCAAGAATTCCTTGGACAATAATAACTAATCTTCAACTTATCTTAAGCAAAGTATGAATTAAAAGGAAGAAATCGAGCCAAAAGAAGGCTGCGATGGAATTGGTACGGCTGGTCCCGTCTGGAACACCATTATGGCAATGTGAGTATCGCCAAAATTAAACTCGCCGCGGGTTCTCCAAGCCGACAGGGACGGGGCCAAAATTTTAGGACAATTAAGACTTATATCATAATAAGATATTAAAATATTTTTTTGCATCCGAATATGATAATAGAGTCTATAAGATGAAAAAGAAATGGATATAGAAAAAACTCACCTAAATGAGAACTACATCGATTTTTGCAAGAATCAATATTGAAAAGTTTCAAACAATCAGAAACAGCGATCTCATCCTATAACGTGCTGTTAATAAAAAAAAATCTAGGACCACTAAGACCGGAAGGCTAATTTAATTATTAAAGTTGGTATGGTACAAGTTTAAGATATAATCATATAATCTCATCATGGGGTGATTTGAATAGCTTAAAATTAAAGTATGTATCTAAGATCACAAATCAAAGAATTTAATGTTCCCATTCTTAAATTTGGCACGTCATTCTTTTCGATCGGATTCAGCATTAACGGACACTTAATATCACTTTTCAGGTTGGGGTCTATTATTAACGTCTTCTTTAATATCATCATTAGGAAGATGGAATCGTAATAAAAAAGAACTGGAATCGTAATAAGAAAGAATTGTTGGTTCTTTACGTACTTCTTTTTATTACTAATGATCTATCGCATGATTATAGTAATTATAATAAGAAAGAAAGTTAAAAACCAATTTAATTATTTATTGCAAGTTTTAGAAAATAAAAAATGTAAAAAGTACGATTTATCTTCTTGTTGATTAAAGAATTGAAATTGTGTAGCACCATGGCCACAGACGATTTTTTTTATGAAACCTCACCGATGAATAATATCAAAAGACCTACCGACTATCTTGGTTAATCCTCTTTAATAAATTGAATGAAGATTTTTTTGCCACTTGTCACACTTTTATTCAATTTGTCAAATGTCATTTTGTTGTTATTTTGAACTAATTTTTTTTTTCCACGTACCATTTTATAAGTTTTATATTTTATTAAATTGCACATAATATTTTAATATAATACTTGCAATATATGTAGTAATAAATGGATATCAATTTCAATAATAAACTTACCTTTTAATTTCAAAATTTCCAAAATTAAAGCTTATTAGTTTCTTTTTATTTATTTAAATTAGTATTTGTTTAAATTTAAAAGATAAAAAACATTTCTATTATAATAATTCAATATTTTTCTTATAAATTCAAAATTCTCATTTATTTTGACATTTATATTTATTTATTTTTTTAAATTAACCCATATAATACATGAGCCTCACAACTAGTCTATTTTAATAAATGAAGATTTTTTTTTTCACATGTTACACTCTTATTCAATTTGCCAAAAAATCATTTTGTGGTTATTTTGAATTAATTTTTTTTCACATGTCATTTTATGGGTTTTCTTATTTTATTAAATTCTACATAATATTTTAATGTAATAATTATAATAAATATAGTAATAAATGAATATTAATTTCATTAATGAACTTACTTTCTAATTTTAAAAGTCTCAAATTAAAGCTCATTAGTTTCTTTTGTTTACTTATTTAAATTTAAAAGATAAAAAAACATTTCAATTTTAATAATTCATTATTTTTCTTATTTTCTTATAAATCCAAAGTTTTCAACCTCTATATTTAACATTTTTTTAAATTAATCCAAACAATACATGAGTCTCATAACTAATTGGCAGATAAAAGAGAAATTTATGAACATGAATTTAAATAAATGGGGGTATAATCAAATGGCAATTAAAATAAATACGGGTGGAGTCGTTGGGATTTTAGTCAATCTCATATGTAAGTCTCAATTTTGGCCATAATTATCATAGACTCATTATTATTATAAATATATAATAATTGATCTTTTATAATGAGTTGGAGGGGCATAACATTAAAAATAACTAACGGGGGCTAAAAATTTACTCATGGCTCGTTGTTTATATACTATAATGGAAGGTTTAAAACAGATTATGGGGGAGAGAATCCGGCAACTCCCCTATTATCTCCGTCCATGGAAATCCTGAGCTCCCTCTTTCTTTTTCTCTTTTCTCAACTTGTTCCCTATGCATTAACATTTATACCAAATTATATGGGATGAGATTTCCATGTGCTTAAGATTTGTCATTTGTGAGGGTTGGAAGGGATATAATTCTAAGCTCAAAATTTTTCTCCAAATTAACAAGCTGCGGAAAAGTTAAACCTTCAAAAGATCTAATCACTTTTATAGCCAAGATATGAAACAACAAATGTTGAATCAACTTTATTTATAACATGATCTACAAATCCTACTTTGTCAAACAGTTTTAATATTAAGTTTTAACAACAGAACTAACAAACATAGATCTCATACATTTTCAGCGTTAGAGTCCAAGAACCTAATTAATGGTCTTTTCAACAACCTCTCTCAGCCGCACATGCTCCATTTCTTCAAATTCTAAACTCTAAACAGCCACGTGTTCACTTTCATCTCTCAATCTCTTCATTCCTGCAAAGTTAAACAAAACACAATAAACTTATAATCCTTTGCACAAGCCAAGATTAAATACATTCTTATTTCATACTTAAAGCATCAAGAAATGGTTTCTGAAGTCTGTCGTAAAAAACTAGGACACTAGTAGCAGTCGCCACAGGTAGAATGGTTGTACTAAAACTCTTGAACAAAGATTTGACACCCTCTTTCTTCAGGATTTGAGTAAACGCATCAAGAGAGCTCTTGTACTTGACAACTTCACCGGATGTCATCATCGTTCTTCTGCGGACTGTGTCAATGGGGTATGATGCAAGACTAGCACCACTGGTAATGACTAAAGCAAGGGCACATGTTGCATAGAAGCTATCCTGAACACACACACACACATCATCATCATCATCATCATATAAATACACTCGTCTTCACATGTTGCAAGACACTAACTAATGAATGCAAAATTCTAACCCACCCGCCATGATCCTGTTAGAACAACTGGCTTCAATGAGTCATACATCCCAAAATACAGACCACGGTAGACAATGACACTGACACATGAAATCTTGAATCCACGATATAGACCAGCAAAACCATCTGATGCAAGAGTTTTTCTGTATACATCTGTTAAGCGACTGAATTGCCTCTCTCCCACCTTCTTAGCCTCATCATTTGCTAAACGACTCGATGCTTGATCAAAAGAGTACAATAACAGCAGGGAGGAAGCACCAGCAGCACTGCCAGAGACAAAGTTACCAGCGGACCACTTCAAGTAACAGTCACGGTCTTTCTTAAAGTTGAACAACCTCCTAAAGTAGTCTTTGAATGCAAAGTTAAGGGCCTACAAAAGAAGGTATAAAGAATTAATTAACACGCACGGTTAGTGTCCCACATCGGTGAGATACAGTCAGGACCAGGACCAGGACCAGTCAGAACTGGTACTGACTTATCTTAGACCAGGTGCAAACACGAAAGAAGGCCACTTAAAAATAAGTTTATATAAAAAAATAAAATCCTAAGTAGTATATACAATGTTATTGGCGTATATTAGAAACGAAAACATAGAAAAAGATATAATGAACTAATTAATATGGAAACATGGTTAGTGTCCCACATCGGTACGATACAGTATAGTCTTATCGTCAGTGGCGGTTTTGTATACGTACCCGGTCTGTTCGCAGTGGAAAACATTTCGATTTTTTTTAACCTATTTTTCCTGCACTGGCAACACCTACTTCAACATCGGCAACACCTAATATGTATTCCTGCGTTCGCCTGTGCTTATCGTATGTCTCTCTATATATATTGGAGTCTACCCTAGCACTCCACATGTATCTTACATTCCACATTTATCTTACGTAGCAGGTGTTACACCTCCTTGACTTAAAACATCCGATAAGCCTTGAGCCTCTGGTGATAGTAGTGCCTCACATTGTTGAGACACCATCTCTTATGTTTCCATAAGCTCTCTTTCGAAGGGTAAGTAAATGACACTACATATATCTTGCAAACACATGCAACAAACCAACTATACAAATTACAATATTAAGCAAGATGAAGATATGATGTTGGTACCGGAGTGGGGACATAGCGGATGACATTAACTGTATTTACTCTCAAATTCTTAATTCTACCAGATAAACGTTCTTTCATGCTCTTGCTCTTTACTATCTCATCTGGATTTTGTGGAAGCTTCATCCTCTCAAGTTCCTTTTCTGTGAAACGACGCTCAGCTATGTCAGCAATAGTTTTGGACACAACAGCAGAAGAACTAGCCCAAACAACATCAGAGCCAAACGTCCCAGTAAATCTTTCTTCTAATGTAGCCTCACGAAATCGTTGCCTAAAAGTTGGCGAATGCTGGTTTTGATGAGCCATTTGTTGAAAATTAACAGAACCTTGCAGATAGTTCATGAACGATTCTTATTAAATCATTACTAATCATCAGATGGTCTATATGCCGATATTGAACATTAAGACACTATATCAAATGAATCAATCAAATAACACAAAATCAAATACCTAAAACATAAACAAGAGAGAAAAATATTGTTCTTTGAGTAGAGCAAAAAACATCTGTGTGTAAGAATTTTGAACGTAATATAAACCAGTTGATCAACGTACAGGAAATCCCATGTGTCAAGCTACAAGGTTCAAAAGGTAATTGATGTGTCTCCTGAGTAACAAACCAAGGTTCAATAAAGAAATACTTTTTTCACATCATGAAGCTCGATCGTCAAACAAAAAAGCCATACAAAATCAAGTCAGCCTAGAGTGATCACTAAACCCCAAATGGTGTTGACCAAATTCGAATATTCTTGGATGCCTTTTAAAAAAAAAACAAAAAAAAAAAGACTTGACAAAATCAAATAAGATTTTGCAAAGATGAAACATAACTTTTTGAAATATTCCACATACATTAAGTAGTGAAACAAAAGGAAATACAAAAACACAGCAGATCTACAAATATCTTGAAGAACTTTTTTTATCAAAATGACATCTACCTTTTAAGAATGAACCTAACAACTCTTCTTCAGAAAAAAACTGGTCCGAGCTGCAGAGATAGTAAACTGAAAATAAGAACGTAGAATGCCTCCGCAATCTGCTGAATGGGCAGAGAAAATGACGACCAGATACAGTGTGAATGCCAGAGACGGTATCGTTATGCCCAATGGAGTAGTATAAATAGGGGTGGACGTTGACTGTGATTAATTACCAGATGAGATCTCTAACTACCGGGAAAAAAAATATATCTGTATATATATTATTTAAATACATGTTGCAATTGATTAATTAATATGTGTGTTGACCACTCTTTTAAAACCATGAAACAAGGGTAGTGTCCTAGAGTTCATGTCCGTAAGCAATATTATAACTAACGATAACAAATAGAGGTGGCACTTACAAATCAATGGGACACCAAATCAATGGGACACCATTTCCGGAAATCCTGGAAAGCATAAGTCATACATTAAACCAATTACTGAATGAAACCAAAAGGCAGTTACCTCCCGAAAGGTCCATGCCGGACCTTGTTCGGGCTGTAAATGTGGACGGGGTTATATTTATTGTATACAAGTAATACTTGGTTTGTATTTATTACATGTGAGTGTACAATTATATAGAGTGATAATCCAAGACACAAAGGTGTCTAAGTACGAGAAAAACACATGAGGTGTCTAAATTTTAGGGAAATATGAGAAGTGTTTAAAGACGTATGAGACATATTTAATTTTTTTAACGACATATGAGGTTTTAAAAGCTTAAGAGGTGCTCTTTGCACCTATAAGGGGGTAAACCACGAGAGTCTTGAGTTAATAATTTGGGATGAAAAGAGAGCTAAAACTGAATCGCCATATAAATCCCAATTAGTCACATGTGGGAGAATGGTGTTATAAATTGTGGCGCCTAGAGATAAAGTATGAGGAAGTACGAGTAAAGAAGTTAAATTGGGAGGTGCATATGTAATGCAACCAAAATCTGAAAAATGGGTTGTGGAAGATACATAAATTGTAAAAGATTACTCCAATGCATTTCGAAAATTAGGGGATTCTTTATCCAAGTGACAAATAGAGATCATTATTAGTTCAATGCCTGGTGATCATGATTCTATTTTTTGTACGCCTTACCGATTAGTAAGATCATAATCTACGAAGTTTAAACAATGACTGACATGTTGAGATGATATGGAATTTGAACATTCACCAATGTACTGAATACGGTATGAATCATATGATTCACCATATGCATACCATATGTAGTAGACTTTCATGAATCTAGAACACATTCGATCATACTAAATTATATCTCTCATCTTGTATTTTCTATTTTTACATTTGGAAATTGGGCATTTAACTTGCAAACCTCACACCCGTTTATAATTCTTCTTTTAATATTATTTTTGGTTAGAGAATAAAAAATTCACTTTTTTATATGGCAGAGAAATTCTAGATGAAGATAACCGTCGATAGTGTTTCTATTTGTATACATACATTATCTGTTCGATGACAGAATTTATCCATATAAGAACCTGTTGATCCTAACACATCAGCAACTTATAGATTTAGTTATATCTAAATAATATCAATTTAAAATAATTAAACTAACATATCAATCTCAAAAAATTTCAAAATACAAACATAGTTTATAAAACCCTAAACATATTAGTTTCAACCGATTTATCAAACCTAAAACATACCGAAGTCTGGTTAGTTGTAACACCTATTCCAGGTAAATAGCTCATGGCAAATTAAAGAATTAAATGTGGGTTTTTGCGGTGGCCACGACGTGGTGAAGGATGCATCATGATGTGGCCACGTCTAAAGGAATCACACAGCATCTGTACGTACCACGATGTGCCAGCCGCCAGTATGCCAAACCCTAATTTTTCAGGTTTTGTGTCTTATTTAAGGTATATGATGGCTAGGGTTTACACACCTTCAGCCTCCATCACCTCCCTTTCGACCTAAAGAAAATCATAGCCTCCATTTTTGGTCTTGTGAGCTTTTGTGGTGGTTTTGGTCCTTTGAAGAAGAAGAATGTGTCATTGGTGCATTCTTCCAGCAAACAAATCCCTTCCTCATCATCATATGTTGTTTCTAGCCTCTTGTAAGTCCTCAAGCTTCTACCTTTTGTGTTCAAGCATGCTAGATCTAGGTTTTTATCCACTTTCTTCCATGTTTGGGGTAGTTTGATTGTATGGATTCCATAAAGTTGACAACTTTATGGGTCCTTGAGGTTCCTTTATGGTCTCTTGTCCTAGATCAGAAGAGTTATTGAGTTATGAGTTCCATACATGAGGTCTTAACTTTATTTTCACCAGTTTAATCTAGCTTGAGCTCAATACATGCATTGGAAATGCATGTCTATAAAGAAATGATTTTATAATGGTTTAGGTGTAAGAAAGTCATCTAGAAAGTATGAGTGTATAGCTTGAAGGATTAAGAGCTTAATGCATTAAGTTGTCCAGAGTTGTTTCCACGACATGGCGGGTTGGCCACCACGACGTGACGGGTTGTCCACCACGACATGGCGATAGTCAGCCTTCATGAATTTTTTGTCGTGTAGATGCCACAGTGTGGCCTATTGGTGGCCACGACCGTTGACTTTTTGACCAAGTTGACTTTTAGTCAATTTAAGGGTTTTAGACTGTAGATTGATAGAATGCTTCTATATTGTTGGTTAGGTGATTCTTCGTACCGGTCTTCACTATCTGAGAGTTATTGTGTTAGCTTGTTGTTCGCAAGTTGAGTCTTCTCATTATATTACTTATGTCATAGTGGTGTACCTGCTAGACTAACTCAGTCTTATTTTATGATTGTTGTTATATGTATTTATTGAGTTGCTGATAACTCAAGGACTGTTGATAGTCCGCAGGGTTGCTGATAATCCATAGGGCTGGTGTGAGCCCATAGGATTTAGGGAACTCACTAAGCTTCGTGTTTATAGTTATAGATTTAAATGTGTTCCAGATACTTCATATAATCGCAGAAAGACGAAGGCTTGATTGTACACTCTCATCAACAATTATTGTGATTTTGTATTATTATGATACCTTGATTTTTAGAATGACTGGATACTCAGGGTTTTCTTGACTTGGTTTTATGGAAACAGTGAATTAACTAATTTAAAAATGAAAATTTTTGGTTGAGAAAATTAGATGCTACATCATTAATGCAATATATTTTTCACATTATTTCTCAAATATATGTTTTCAGTAGTATGATGTTGGGATTATTTTCTATTTGGAGTTTCAAAATTACTTCTCTATATTAGAATTATGTTTTGTAACAGAACATATTGTTTTTAAATTCAAATAATATATACAATGTTAATTTCTAATAATAAAAAATAATTGATAAAAAATAATTCAGAAATACAAAACATATATAATGTGATGAATAAATATGTAAATTATAATGACATTACTGTACAAAATTATTGTTGTAGAAGAGCAAACTGGTAAAAAAATTATTTATATTTTATTACTTATTACGATAACGAAAGATAACTTATTTTTAATTTATTTTCTCCCATATGTTGGTACCAAAAAGTGCAATGAATTCTATTTCTAAGTGCCAAGTTCTTTCTTTCCATTTTCATCTAGTCCTTCAACTCCATTTTCTGAAATAGTTTCCCACTAAACGCACATAAAACCAAAAGTTCAAGGGTGTTGTAGGGAAAACATAAAAAATAGCTACCTTGTCTATATTTAGAGGTTATTCAAATGAGCGAGAATTCATTGTGCAATCAGAACTAATCTTCAACTAATTCTCCTAAGCAAAGTATGAATTAAAAGGAAGAAATCGAGCAGAAAGAAGGTCGAGATGGAATTGGTACAGCTGGCCACGTCTGGAACACCATTCGAGCAAGGTGAGTATTGCTAAAATTAAACTCACGATGGGTTCTCCAAGCCGACAGGGATAGGGCCAAACTTCTAGGACAATTCATCATAATAAGATATTAAAATATTTTTTTAAATCCGAATATCATAAGTCTATAAGTTGAAAAAGAAATGGATATAGAAAAAAAATCTCCTAAATGAGAACTACATCTATTTTTGCAAGAATCAATGTTCAAAAATTTTCAAACAATTAGAAACAACGATCTCATCCTATAACCTGCTATTATAATTAATAAAAAAAACTAGGACCATTAAGATCGAAAGGATAATTTAATTATTAAAGTTGGTATGGTATAAGTTTAAGATATAATCATATAATCTCATTATGGTGATTTGAATAGCTTAAAATTAAAGTATCTATCTAGAATCACAAATCAAAAATCTAATGTTCTCATTCTTAAATTTGGCAAATCATTCTTTTCAATAAAGAATTGTTGGTTCTTTACATACTTCTCTTTATTACTAATGATCTATCATATAATTATAATGAGTTAAAAACCATTTAATTATTTATTTCACGTTTCAGAAAATAAAAAATGTAAAAATTACGATTTATCTTTTTGTTGATTAAAGAATGAGTAAATTACAATGATCCCTGTGGTTTAGGGTAATTTGCATGTTTGTTTCTAACTTATTTTTTTACAGTTTGTTTTTGTTACGCGCATGGTCCATGGTCCAAGATATGAAACAACAAATGTTGAATCAACTTTATTTATAACATGGTCTACAAATCTTACTTTGACAACTAGTTTTTAGTTTTAACAACAGAACTAATTAACAAATATAGATCTCATACATTTTCAGCGTTAAAGTCAAAAAAACCTAATTACTGGTCTTTTCAAGTACCTCTGTCAGCCGCACATGTTCCATTTCTTCAAATTCTAAACTGCAGGCACGTGTTCACTTTCATCTCTTATTCTCTTCTTTCCTGCAAAGTTAAACAAAATACAGTAAACTTATAACACAATAAACTTATAACCCATTACACATGCCAAGATCAGATAAATTCTTATTTCTTAGGCTAAGGGGTATGGTTACCACCAACCTACTCAAAAAGTGAAGCCACATCAGCGCCACATCACCTTCACTACTAACCTACTACCAACCCACTAACCCTTAGAAATGGTTACCACTCCACATCATTTTTTTTTCTTTTTTATATTTTTGAACAATATTAAATTAAATTAAAAAATAATTCAAATAAAACACACATTAAAAACATTAAATTAAAATACATTGCATTAATTTTTAAACACACAAACTTAAATCCTAAAATATTTAAAAAACAACAATAAAAAAAAATCCTAAATTACTTATTTTTCCTAAAATACTTAAACGACAAAAAAAAAAAATCCTAAATTACTTATTTATCCTAATTTACTTAAAAAAACACACAACAACTAAAACATAAATATTAGAACCTAATCGTCATATTTAGCACGGACACGTTGTTGGATTTTCAGAAATGTGGCGAGATTTTCAGGATCGAGATCCGGTTGAGGTTTCGTGTTTATGATTTGAAGATCGGTGAGAGCGAGTTTTTGGCGACGACCTTCCTCTGCTGATTGGTATTTTTTTTCTAGAAAACTTAAAGTTTTATCTATGGATTCCACAAGCCCGTCGTCGCTAGTTGCGGTTGCTTTCCCGCTTGAAGACGCCGCCCGTTTTGCTTTGTCCCTACTCGGTGGTCGACGGAGTTGGACTTCAGGCGGACCCTCTTCCTCGGCACCATCGACGTCATCATTGAGGTCTAGCCCAAAACCCGCGTCCGATTCAGAAGTTCTTGTTCTTTTGTTGGAGCCGGTGGTCGAGTCTTAATGCGATGTCTCTGGATTAAGGACCCATTTTGGACCTTGACGACACACTTCCCACGCTTTTTGGTGACCAAATGGTTTACCGTTGTTGGTCAGTTTGAATTGGTAGCACGCGGTAGATAAAACGTTGAAATCGTTGGAACCACTTTTATGCATATTTTTTAGATTTTCAAAAATATGCCATTAAACTTTGTGCAAATCGCGCGAAGATCACGCCATTTTCCGTTGACCGCGTCATAGGACCGATCCGTTTTTCTTCCAAGAAGCGCGTGAAAGTGGTCCACAACACGATTCCAAAAACTTTCTCCAGATTGCGCGTTGCCTCTCCTCGAATCACAGGATATGAAAATCCAAGCTTTTGCTAAAGCTTCTTCTTCTTCTTCTTCTTCGGTCCAAGCCGTTGCTTTCTTTTTTCCCTTTTCCTCTTGCTTGCCTTCTTCGAGATGATTGTGGTGTTTCTTGGACCATCTCATCGTCGTTGTCGAGGTTGACGGTTTGGGATTGAGTTAATGGGACTTGAGATGATTGAGTTTGGAATTGTGGAGAAGCTTGTTGTTGAAAAACTTGGAATTGGGGAATGAATTGAGGTTGGGTAAATTGTTGTTGTGGTCGTTGTTGTTGGAAGAATTGTGGGTTGTAGGGAAGGTTAGTGAATAAAGGTTGTTGTTGGATTGGAGAATTCAACAATTGCATATAAGCTTGTAATCACTAGGAGTGTTTGGGGTGTTTGGAGTGGGGTGGAGTATTTTGGTTGGGATCCATTTTTTTGAAGAAAATTGAAAGAAAGTAGGAGAATTCTTTTTTGAATTGGAAGTGTAGTGTGAAAGTGTAGGTGAAAGTGTAGTATATATATATAGGTAAAAGATGTTATTTAAATTTAATTGTATTTTTTTTTGTTTAATCCCTACCCGGTCAAAAGATTCGTTCAACGCTGCTTTTTCCTTTCATTTCATTGGCTGTCTTCTTCCGTGAAGGGTATCACTCCACAAGTCACCTACGCACACCTGGGGCGGTGTTCACGCGTAGGTGAGCTTGCCACCTCAGCCCCACGCGTAGCTTTCCCGCCTCGATACCGTTTAGCCTTACTTTCAGCATCAATAAATGGTTTCTGAAGCCTGTCGTAAAAAATAAGGACACCAGTAGCAGTTCCGACAAAAGGTACAATGGTTTTACTATAACTCTTGAACAACGATTTAGCACCCTCATTCTTCATGATTTGAGTAAAAGCGTAAAAAGAGCTTTTGTACTTGACAACTTCACCCGATGTTATCATCATTCTTCTCCGGATTGTGTCAATAGGGTATGATGCAAGACTAGCAACACTCGTGGTGACTAAAGCAAGACCACATGTCCCAATGAAGCTATCCTGAAAACACACATCATCATATAAACATCTGGTTAATTAATTAATTACCGATATGCAAAATTCAAACCCACCTGCCATGATCCTGTAAGAACAACTGGCTTCAAAGAGTCATACATCCCAAAATACAAACTACGGTAGACAATGACACCCACTCATGAAATCTTGAATCCACGGTATAGACCAGCAATACCATCTGATGCAAGAGTCTTCCTGTATACATCTATTAAACGACTGAATTGCCTCTCTCCCACCTTCTTAGCCTAATCATTTGCTAAATGACTTGATGCGTGATCGAAAGAGTACATCAAAAGCATGGAGGAAGCACCAGCAGCACCACCGGAGACAAAGTTACCAGCGGACAGTAACCATCATGGTCTTTCTTAAAGTTGAACAATCTCTTGAAGTAGTCGTTGAATGCAAAGTTAAGTGTCTGCAAAATAACGTATAAAGAACTAATTAGTACGGATACACTGTTAGTGTCCCACATCGGTGCGATACAGTCCTGTTGTATGTTTATATCTATATATTGATTGGAGTCTAACTTAATTAACATATCCTATATCTACATCAAGCCTCCACACTGTATGGTATTTACATGTATCTATGGTATTTACATGTATCAGAGCCTAACTTATATCTGCATGGTATTTACATGTATCTTATATGGCATTAGAGCTTAACTTAATTAACACATCCTATATCTGTATCTTATATGGTATCAGAGCTTAACTTAATTAACACATCCTATATCTGCATCGAGCCTCCACACTGTATGGTATTTACATGTATCTTATATGGTATCAGAGCATAACTTAATTATAACACATCCTATATCTACATCGAGCCTCCACACTGTATGGTATTTACATATATCTTATATGATATCAGAGCATAACTGAATTAATACATACTATCTGCATCGAGCCTCCACATTGAAGGATATTTCCATATGGGCTCTTTTGAAGAGTAAGCAAACGACTCTACATATATCTTGCAAACTCATTCAACTAACCAAACATAAAATATTAAGGTAGAAGAGGATATGATGTTATACCGGAGTGGGGATGTAGCGGATGACAATAGCTGTATTTACTCTCACATCCTTAATTCTTCTAGAGAAATGTTCTTTGATTCCCTTACTCTTTATTTTATCATCTATGATAGGGGTTGGACGCACAGCTATATCCGCAAGAGATTTGGACAAATAAGTAGAAAAACTAGCCCAGAAAACATCAGAAGTAAAAGTCCCGATATATCTTTTTTCTAATGGAGCCTGAACAAATAGATGACTAATTGTTGCCGAGTTCTGGTTTTGATGGGCCATTTGCAGAAAATTCACAGAACCTTGCAGATAATTCAAGAACGATTTTTATTAAATCATTACTAAATCATCAGATGTTCTATATACCAAGATCGGATTTTAAGAAACTATTTCAAAGGAATCAACAAAACAAAACAAAATCAAATAACTAAAACATAAACGAGAGAGAAAAATGTTACTGGTTGAGTGCCATATATAGGCATTGTTGGTGTTAATCCAAATTGAGTCAATCACGTGATTATGCTTAGGGGTATTTTAGTCCTTCTTATAGAGTTTGAATAAGTAAAGGCCATGTAGGTCACGTTTATTCTGCAGATTTTTAGTATATTTTAGATAGGTTTAGTTGGGTCCTGTTTTATTGCTTTGACTAGGTAGGTAGAGGTTGTTTCCTTTAAAAGTGGAGTAGACAGTTAGGTCGTGTATATATATATATATATATATATATATATATATATATATATATATATATATATATATATCTATATATATATATATATATATATATTGTATGTTATGTTACTAAATGAAGTAGCAAGAGTTTAGAAAGATGTAACCTTATCGTATGTTTTGGGTTTGTTCACAGGGGCATGTTCCAACAGGCATCTGTGTCTAAGAATTATCAACGTAATATAAACCAAATCAACGGCAAATCCGATCTGTCATTCTGTCGTTTCAAAAGGTAATAAACTGATGCGTCACTTGAATACCAAATAAAGGTTCAATAAAAAATGTTCTTTTTTCACATCATGAAGCTCCTCAACAAAAAAAACCATACTAATCAAATAAGGCGGCTGCTTTTAAAAAGAATAACAAAAAGACCCGACTAAATGAAATAAGATTATGCTAAGAATGAAGCATAACTTGTGGAAATATTCCACCTACATTAATAACACATACACGAACAGATGCCAAGCCAAGTAGTTAAACAAAAGGAAAACAACAACACAGCAAATCTACAATATGTGGAACAAAATTTTATCAAAATATCATCTACCTTATGAACCAAACAAGTCTTACAGATAAGACCGATCTAACCTGCAGAAAAAAGTAAAGTGAAAAGAACAGAAACTGCCTCGACGATATGCTGAATGCGGGAATGTCAAAGTAGTATCATAATGCTCAATGGAGCAGTATATATAATAGGGGTGGACATTAACGTGAGACTAACAAATGAGACTCTACCAACCGGGAATATATATATATATATATATATATATATATATATAATATATATATATATATATATATATATATCTATATCTATATATATATATATATATACTATAATAAATCAAGATCCATTTTGCCACATGTCAATCTCTCATGAGTTTTGATACTTATCATCATCCTCTCTAATAAATGAAGGTTTTTTTGCCAAATGTCTTCTTCTCATTCATTTTGTCACATGACATTTTCTAGAATTTGTGAAATTTCTATTTTCCACTTGTCATTTTATTGTATTTTTCATTTTATTAAACTAAAATTCCACATTTAATATGTAAGGTAATATATATGTAAGATATTTATTAGAAAAGGTTTATATATGTAATGTATTCAATATATTAAAGCCTCATTAATTTTAATAATTCAAAATTTTTCTTATTTTTCTTATAAATTCAAACTTCTTAAATTGTTGAAATTTCATATTTAATTTTTTTTAAATAAACCCATGTAATACATGGGTGTCACATCTAGTTTTGTAATATTTTTGAAATAAATAATGTCTACGTGTCAATTTCTGGGTTTTTTCAAATTTTAAAATTAAAAAACCACATAATATTTTATATTTATATATGTAAGTATTAAATGTAATAAATGTGATAGTAAATTGTAATTAATACATTTCTTTATTTTTTATTTCAAAATTTTATTTAAAAAATACTTATTGTTTAAACTTTGATATTTAAATTTTTTTAATTAACCCGTGTAGTACACGGGTTTTACACCTAGTATATATATATATATATATATATTATATCTATATATATATATATATATATATATATATATATATATATATTGTTTTTTTTAGAAAAGCAACATATATAAAACTAGCAAACACAAGAACAAAAGAAACGTTAATTGATTACATACATAACATTTTGCACCCAATACACCCATTTAACACTAAACTTAGCACACCTAGAATTAAACCAAAAAAAAAAGATTTGGATTGAATGGTATCCCAAATATCCGCCTTGATAGGTTTGATATTAGAAAACAACAACTGGTTGCAAAAAGCCCAAATTGCCTAAAACATTGTTAAAACAGTCCCTTCCAAACATCTTTTGATAATTAGAGACAACCTCACACAATCTATCCATGAGAGCCATTCGGAGATAGCCGAAAAAACTGGAATATCCAAATCCCACCAGGTACCCAAAAGGATCCACAAATCGGAAGCTACCTCACAAGAGAAGAAAAGATGATTTACTGTTTCGACATTCTCATCACAAAGAGGACATAAAACATACTGGACCTTAATACCCCGTCTATCCAAGTTATTTCTAGTGGGGACCTTGTTCAAACTCAGCCTCCAAAACAGAACAAATAGTAACCTGTAGACGGAACAAAGTTATTCCATCTAGTAGAATGAAGATTCGAATCCAAAACAACAGAATCTATCAAACCCGGGCTAAAGAAACAGAAAAACCATTAGAAGGATCCGTTAACCAAATCCAAGAATCCCTAACCTCCACAAACATAACACCATTAAGACAACATCTCAACGAATCGAACTGGAAAGTCTCTTCACCACCTCAAGGAGGTCTTCTAAGCATAGAAAACCAATCAAGCAGCTGAATCCGATCAACTACTATACAATTTTTTGGAGGTCAAGGGCATTAAACCCTAGGAAACTGCACTTTTAACGAGCAATCACCACACCACACATCATGTCAAAAACCAATAGATTGGTCGTCACCAATTTTACGGTTGCACAAGGACAATATATCAATGTCTTTATACAAAGACTTATAGAAGATCTAATAACCCCGTTCCAACTAGATGCAACACTCCTAAGAGAAGCATTGCCGATTCCACCATCCAAGCCATAAATACTTCTAATCAAAGAAGCCCATAACTCATTCGGATGCATTCTAAAGCGCCAAATCCATTTGAACAGAAGAGATCTACTCAAAGCAAATATACTTCCAATACCCAACCATCCAAGAGCTTTACTAGTTAAACATTTTTTTTCCAAGCCATCCAAGTAATCTTTCTGTCCTCCAAGTCTCCACCAATGAAAAAGTTATTGCGCATAGATTCCAAAGTTTTTTCTATAGCAACTGCATTCCATATAAAGACATGTAATATGTCGGTAGATTCCCCAAGACTGCTTTCATCGAGGTAAGCCTTCCCACAATAGAAGGAGTTCGAGCCTTCCAAGCCAACAATTTAGATTTAAATTTGTTTACAACTCCCTTCCTATTAGCAATACGAGACATATTACACCCTACCGGAACACCTAGATAAGTCATTAGAAACGAAGAAGTCCCGCAACCAAGAACCGACACCATATCCGTGATCTCCCCAATAGGAACACCAATCCCAAACAACTTACTTTTATGAACATTTATCTTTAGACCCGAAGAGAGAAAAAAACAACGTCACATGCTAATTAAATTGCTAGCATTTCGAAAAGACCATTCCGAAAATAATGTCATCTGCATACATCAAATGCGCTATCTTGAAAGGAACCTAACCAATAGAAGCAGGTCTAAAAAGACCAATGGAAATAGCCTTCTGAGTAACGACATGTAAACCTTCCGTCGCAATGATAAAAAGAAAATGGGAGAATGGGTCACCATAACGAAGGCCTCTACAAATTTCGAACTCATCCGTCAGGGCCCCATTAATCAAAATGGAGGCATGAGCATTCCAAAGCAACCCTCAATCCATCTTCTCCATTTATTCCCAAACCCCATCTCCGTCATGACCAAATGTAGGAAGTCCCATCGCAAGGAATCATAAGCTTTCTCAAAATCAACTTTAAAGACTAACAAGCTCTTATTATTATTTTTATACCACTCCATCACTTCATTAGGAATCATAGGACCATCCAATATATTTCTGCCTTTAACAAAGGCAGACTACACAGAGCTAATGTAACCCCCAATAACCAGACTGAGCCAATTAGCTAACAGTTTGCCAATAATTTTTTATTAACATCCTACTAAGCTAATCAATCTAGAAACCAAGTTAGGAGAAGAGACTTTAGAGATCAAATCAATAAACGAAGAATTACAGCTTTTGGGAAAGATAGTTGTAGCAAAATAATAATCTACAAAGTGAACGAAAACATCCTCAATAGTCAACCAAAAAGAATTGAAAAAGGGAAAAAGAAAACCCATTTGGACACGCGGCACGGTCGCTACCAAAATCCTAAACCACACGTTTAATCTCCTCTCGAGAAAAAGGAACTTCCAAACTATATGATTGCAAAGAGTTCAATCGATTAGGAAACTCTGCATCACACCACATCCGTGGACCAAGAGCTAGAGAAAAACGCTGCTTAAAGTGCTCAAGAAATTCAGATTTAATCGAGGAAGGATCTTCAATCCAACTACTGTCTTTCATAACCCCCTTTATCTTCGTTTGCCTTCTTTTTCCTAAGAATACCATGAAAAAAAATTAGAATTTTCATCGCCTTCAATAGCCCATTTGAAATTAGCTTTTTGGGCTATGTCTTTAGCATCAATCCATTGTAAATCGGATAAATTTTGTATCGCCTCATTCCTAGAGATTAAATCTTTAGTAGAAGCAACGCCTTGATCAACAAGAATATCCATGGCTGCAATATGGGAGGAAAGACCCTCTTTTTCTTCCCTATGATAGACGAATAAATTTCTTCAGATTTTGGAGCTTCTTTTTTAACAAAAGAATTCCATTAGCATCATTAATACCATCATTTAACCAAGTGTCAATCACCAATTTGTGAAAATCCTCCATATCTAACCACAAGTTGAAGATCTAGAATGGGGTAAGGCCAAAATTTACCGCTT